ATGAATAACTACCGCTGATACTGTGGGGTGATGACGTATGATGGTGGGGGCGGAGTCTATGATGTCCTTCACGAGAGCACCTGGGTGACAGGAGGTGTGGCCTTTTTTAATTCTCACGTGTCGGACCATGGAGGAGCCGAGAACCAGCACGGACGGGTCTGGCCTGGACGCCGGGGCCGAGGGCACCGCAGAGATGTGAGCCGAGCTCCGCGAGGCAGCACGGTCAGGAGCGAGACCATCTCCTCGCTCACGTCGAGCGCTCGGGCTCGACATGCGCGAGGAGGGAACGGAGGCCCCTCTCGGCGCACGCGAGGCGGTCAGGACACGCGCACGCGGAGAGGGGGCCGTAGGTCCCCCCCCGTCACGCCGAGCCGCCGGACCCGGCATGCGCGAGGCGGAATCTCCGGCAGAACCTCCGGGCGGCACCGGGGCCGCAGGGGAAGACCTGGACAGCAACGGAGACTCACTCTCGTGCAGGTTACCCAAGGCAGGTGGCGGTGTGGCCATGGTCATGCCGCGCGCACCGGGACGATCTGATGGTGGAGCCGGGGTGAAGTGCAGCTGGCCCTTGTAGGTTCGGGGCAGCGGGGGAAAATCCACATGGTCGAAGACATTAAATTTATTTGCCATGGATATGGAGGAGCAAGACGGCCGGTTTGCTCGCTTACCTCGCTGTCTGGAGCAACCACGGGGTAGAACAGTCCAGGGATCCGATCGGACTGGAGTAGAGCTCAGCGGGGCTTTAGGTCTAGCCCCACGCTGAAGCCAGTAGTGATCACCTGTACCTGTACCAGTTGGGACGCCAGGGTCGGGCGGAGAGGGCTGGTGCTCAGGGGCGTCTCCGGAATAGTGGACGGTGTCAGCTAGCTGGGCGCTGTTGGCGGTGGCACGGGTCTTTCCCAGGATGATGTTCTGGTCGCTCTCCAGTCGACTTTCAAACACGGATATACGTTGTTCTAACTCAGCTACCCTCTGACTGAGGACGTGGCAGCTGTCGCAGCTGGACGTAGAGGTGAGTGGATGCATGGCTCACCTGTAGCCACGCAGCCGGCTTACGGCGATTTCGCTAGTTGGCTTAATTTCGGGCAATTTCAGAATCAGGTTATAACCAAAGTCAATAAGTGCCTCGATGTTTCTTATTCCCCTCTAAAAGATGTCTTAATTATTGGTAAAAACGAATTGTTTGGGAATCGATCGAGCTAGCGTAAACAGACGCCGACGCATGCGTTAGATCTAGTTGTGTAGATACAAGACAAGATAACCACCCACTTCAAAGACAGCAGAGATGCAAAGAGTCTATGGCTGGACATCCAGATTATCACGGGACTACAAGCCAGTGCCACTGAGCAGCGAGAGCAGCACCTCTGTTCCATGACCTGAACAACACCCATCCATAGAAAACCACACCCCCTCTCCACAACCAAACTCTATGCCTGTCTGCCACCAGCTTGAAGAAGACACTCACCGCCATCAACCCACGCAAAGCAGCAGGTCCAGACAACATCCCAGGCAGTGTGCTGAAAGAATGTGCAGAGGAGCTAAAGGATGTCTTTACAGAATCTTCAACATCTCTTTGGAGGAAGTCATTGTCCCATCTTGCTTCAAAGCCGCCACCATCATACATGTGCCAAAGAAACCATCCCCATCCTGCTTCTATGACTACCGCCCTGTGGCAGTGATGCTCATCATCATGAAGTGTCATGTCTCACATTAAATCCACCCTGGACCCCTTCCAATTCGCATCCCAAGTAGGGGTGGGCGATATATCGATATTTTAAATATATCGAGATAGTTTTTAAACTCGATATGAATTCTGACATATCGTATATATCGATATAATTCTTATATTCAATTTTGATTTCAGCCGCTTCGCTTGTTTATCTTCTCTCTCGTCGCCTCTGCGCGCCCCGCCTCCCTGAGTTTGTTCGCTCATGTCTCCTTCACTCCTCACTACCACCCGCGAACGCCCAAAGTTGGTGCCAGTGAAAAGCTTCAAGCACCACGAACCTTTGCCACCATTTACAGACAAAACCATCAGCAGCACATCCTCATATTCCACCGAGTCGCGTCCTTTAGTCCAAAAGAAGCTAAAAGAGCAGAGCTGCGTGAGAAGTGCGCTGTTTATGCAAATGAGCCATGCGCTTAAGTTTCGTTTCTGTGAAATGTAAACACACGTGCGCAAAACTGCATTAAACACATTATTATCACAAACGGGGTGATGTGGCTCTATAGTCGTTATGCTTTATATTTTATAAAGTTTAGCAATGTAAAGTTTATTTATACAGAATATTTTAATTAATAATCTGCTGCAGTGTCACTTGTACAATAGTGTTTGGAAACGTTGGGTTTGATCTGCAGTGGATTGTGGGATTAAACCTCAGAGCTCCTTACTGCTGCATAGAAACATGGATCTGTTAAAATAAGGAACATCCTGAGCTTCTTCTGCTAAATGAGCTCATGGTTATGGTTCTGGTTTGGATAACAGAGTTAATGCAAAGATGAGCTTGTGTTGAGTTGTTTTATTTATGAATGAAAAGAAGGAAAAATGTATTATTTCTTTTATTTTACAGTTAAATTATTATTTATGTAATTAGGGTTTTTTGTAATCTTAAATGTTCCTATATATGAACTGCCGACCTCTTACACTTCAATAAAAAAAAAAAGACCTGGTGGAATTGGCATATTTGTTTTTGCAGTTTTCAGTTTTAGGGGGTTATTTTTTCTTGAACATATATCGAGATATATATCGTATATTGAGATATAGCAAAATATATCGAGATATATTTTTTGATCCATATCGCCCAGCCCTAATCCCAAGCCAAATGTTCTACAGAGGATGCGATGTGCTCTGCCCTCCACCACCCCACACCCATCTGAACAATAAGGACTCATATGTGACAATGCTGTTTATAGACTTCAGTTCAGCATTCTACACCGAAATACCACAGTAACTCATCAGCATACTTGACAAACTGGGCTTCAGCACCTCCCTCTGCAACTGGCTGCTAGGCTTCCTCAGCCAGAGACCACATGCAGTACGTTTTGGCAACAATACCTCAAGCACCATCACTCTGAGCACGGGTGCTCCTCCTCAGACCTCTGCTCTTCATCTGCTGACACATGCCTGCACAACAACTTGCAGCACCAACCACCTTGTGAAGTTCGTGGATGACACAACTCTGGTGGGTCTCATCACCAAGGGCGACGAGACTCACTACAGGCGAGAGGAAGACCTTCTGACCATGTGGTGCAGAGACAACAACCTCCAGCTGAAAGTCAGCAAGACTAAGGAGATTGTTGTCGACTTCCACAGAGGCTAGACCCAACAGCTGCCACTGACCATCGACAGTGCTGCTGTGGAGAGAGTGAGCAGCACTAAATTCCAAAGGGGGTGAAGAAAGACCAGCAGTGCCTCTTCTTCCTGCGAAAACTCAAGTGGGCTAATGCCTCACCATGATCATGATCACATTCTCCTGAGGAACCATCGAGAGCATCCTTTCCAGCTGCATCACTGTGTGGGACGGAAGCCGCACTGACCACGACAGGAGAGACCTGCAGTGCAGAGTGAACACAGTTGCCTCACCCACATACACACCACCTGCCTCAGCCACAAAGCCATCACATTTGTGAGCGATACAAGTTACCCAGCACATAATCTATTCACCCTCCTGCCCTCTGGGAGGAGGTAGAGGAGCCTCTGTTCCCACACCACCACCAGAATCACTAACAGCTTCATTCACCAGGCTGTTAGGATGATGAACTCTCTCCCCTCTCTAACCATCAGGCAGCCAGGAAGCAGAAATCTTCCTCTCCCCAAAGAAGAACACTTGGTCTTCTCTATTTATTATTATTATTATTAGTAGTATGAGTATTATTATTTAATTAGAAGACTGGGAGTGAGGAATACAATTTCAGTTCTTCATATGTTTTTATATGGAAACTGACAATAAACTGAATTGAATTCAGATCAGGTAATAGGTGTACAAATCAAGTTTCAGAATCACAAATAGAGTTATACACACTTCTTATTAAAGGTAAAACAAATTAAGAATGTACAAATCTTTGTAACAATAATGCTAAACAGGATTTAATAAAACATAAGAATTATGAGTAAATTGGTGCTCTCAGTCTGTCTCCATTATACACTGCTCTGAAATAGTTGAATTGTTCCTGTTTTCATTCATCTGGTTGGGTTTTGTACTTGGAGAAAACACAATAGATCCTGGTACAACTATAATTTTCTACATTAAACATTCACACGTGTATGACACTGCTGGTGTAAATTGTCTGACCAGTTACAAAGGAAAGCATTACCTGCGCGTGTGCTGCTCATGTGCTGTTGCACTACACACCCCTGGGAATGTTTTGATCCAGCAGAAGGCAGCAGTGTGGAGTATTTGCACATGGAGCTGTCCGAGGTTCTGAAATGAGACTTGACTTTGGATGGGGCAAAGTCACATGACTGCAGATGTGGTAATGTCAGAAATGGTCTTACTGAATTGAATGGAGTTACACAAAAGCTGAGTTTTTGGTGATGGGGCGATAGATATGGCGGTAATGATGATTTATTATTAGGAAATGAATTAAATGAAACTGCAAATTAAGACAAGAAAAAAAACAACCTTTTATTTCTAAGCTTTTTTATTTATTTATTTATTTTTTTTGTTTTGTTTTGGTTTTTAATGGCATGTTATATGTGGAAGTTTCTGTTACACACACACTTAGATTTAGACATTTTTGACCATTGTTTGTGTTAATGTAGTAAAAAAGCACTTGACAATGTTATTAAAACACAATATACACAGTTATAGCAAAAAGATTTGTGTTTTGTTCCACTTTAAATTTACTCTCATGAAAGTAAATGAAAACAAACTGAAGAAAAAAAGAGTAAAGATGTAACACTGAGTTTATTTCATATGATTTGAATAGTGCACCCCTTTCACCTATTAAAAAGTTTTTAAAAAGCATCTGCTTAAAAAAAAAAAAAAAAGAAAGAAACTGGTTCCAGCTAACTCCTGTACAAACATTATGCTGACAGTCAGGAAAAAAAATTTCGAACTGAGTTAAAAATATTTTCAATTTCTTTTCTTATGTTATTGAACAACTTTTTCATATATGCGGCCTTGCAGTTGAGTTTAGTCTTGGTCCCCACATGCTTCAGAACAAAGATCTTTTTACAGTCTTCCAATCGTTGATAGGAGCAGTGCTTAATATCAATGATCTTGAACTTCTCATAGGGAGGGATTAACACCTCATCCTCATTACTAAAGCACGAATATTCATTGATGGGAGCACCTAAGCAGGTCTCAATTTGAAAGCAAGTCTCGTCACCAAATTCTACCACATCGGGCCTGAGTGAAGAGGAGGCAAATTGACCAAAACGTATTTCTTGGTTGAGCTGACCTGTAAATGTATGTTCGCTTCTCCTGTAGGTGGTACGGCATATTTTGTTATTATTAAGTGTCTGTAAAGCAGAAACGAGCCAGTAGTATAAAGCGTGATATTTGAAAGAATTAGAGACGTATTTGTCAGCACTGACTCGAACCGCAGCGTTAAACTCTCCATAGACGTCATCTCCAGTGTAGACGCCTAAAGCATGGACCTGATCTTTGGTCAGGGCCATGTTCGTTCTTCTGTTGTATTTGTTATTTGCACAAGACTCCATTTTATTCCACGCCTCTTTGAATAGCTGATTCTTCTTCATTTCTCTGGGGAAGTAAGTATGATTGACCCTTTCAGCCATTGCCTCACTGCAGCCGTCGTACATGTCGTCAACCGATTTGTCCATCATACTCAGGGGAATTGAGAAAGACTCCTAAGCAAGGCAAGGCAAGGCAAGTTCATTTGTATAGCACAATTCATACACAAAGTAATTCAAAGTGCTTTACAGAATAAGAAATACATTAAAATCACACTAAAAATAAATCAAAACATCATAAAATTTAAGATTAAAAATTTAAAAAGAGAGATAGACATTAATTACATAAATGAGAGAGAAGAGTGCGGAATGAAAACTTTTCAGTCATATGCACAGTTAAACAGAACCGTTTTGAGCCCGTATTTAAACAGAGTCAAAGTAGAGGCCTGTTTCATATGTTAAGGAAAACAATTTAAGAGCAAAGAGATCAAATCAATTATAATCTTTAAACCGAGATATCTGAGAATATTTATATTGAATTCCATAAACATGACCTAACTGTAACTGGACATGTTCAACCCAAACACAAACTTTTACTGAACAACTGTAATGATTCATTCTTAATTACAATCAAACTGGACATCATGTTTTGGTTTTCAAGATGGTTACACAATCAGAAAGTGGAATGAGTGTCTCATTTGTGTTGCCAGTTTCAATGCTGAAATCCAATTTGTTTTAAACCTAAAATGTGTCTCTCTGATCTGAACGGTCACTACCTAAACCCCAGCACTGCAGCCTCTGCAGCTCAGTGTATGTGTCCATATACTGACAATGAGGAGAACTTGTATGTGTCCTCAATCTGCAGATTAAAGCCCAGGTTCAGTTGTGTTCAGTTCAAACTGTAAGACTGCAGACAACATATAGTTTCTTTAAATAAAAGTATAGAATAAAACAGAGGCTTTTGCTTAAATTGTCCGGAGTCCTTGATCATTTTAAAAAGAAATAAAACAAGCTAAATGTCTTAAGAGTTTGAATCAGAAACCCTTACCATTGAAAAAGAAGTCATCACCAAACAAAGCATCAAAGCCAGCACTGTGGTCTCCATGTTTGTGAACTAAAGCAGGAAGAATAAAGCAAAATAACATATCTGGGTTATAGAGTAAACTTGCTGTTGTTACCTCATGTCCAGTCTGGTCTCTGTCTGCAGGTCACCACTGCTCTGCCCTTAAATACACAAGACCATGATGGGGTTTTGAATTTGGAAAAAAACCAAAAAAAACATTTACATAGTACTGTTCCTCCTACGTTTTCGTAGTACTGTCAGAACATCTGACCCCAGACTTTGTGCTAGTTTCACTTATGTTATTTCAGCACAAAGAAAAAAAAAATGAAAGCAATCTTTCCTTCTGCATTTGACCATGGAGATACTTTGTGTAACTATGTACTTCCTGTTTCCATTCCACAAAAGCTGGACTGTGTATCGTGCATTGCTGCATCTCTATATCATTCATTACACTGAAGAAAGCATTAGTACAACCTTCCAAAGGAGTCTGGCACAGTTTGGACTTGGGACCTGCTCGAACTCCATGTACCAGGACACGGCATCTTTGTGAGCTGCCAGACACACAGCAATGCTGTTGTCACAGTTTAGGGCACAAAGCAGCACACAGTAAGGCTCAATAGAGCAAGGGACTGATTCACTCCACCCAGGAACCTGTGTGACCAGTGGACTTCTGCGTTGTTTTGCAGTGCTTGTGGAGCTGTTAAGGATCAAAATAATTCGCTTTTATGGTAAAAGCATGAAACTTTGCCAGATTACTGACTAATTTACTTACACCCTCAGGACTAATATTTCTGAATATGGAACCAAGTTTAATTTAACACTGGAGCTGAGAACTGCTCATATCACAAAATAGATGACATGAAAACGAGGAAACTAGCATAAAAAATACTCCATTCTTACAATCGAATTTGTTAGTTGTGCAGGTTCATAAAGTTAAATGAATAAAAATATTTTATCTTTCAAAGATTGAGTTTGTTCTGTCCTTTGTGTTGTGAAGTGTCTGAGTTACACAATTTCAAACAAATTTATTATTATTATTATTATATTATTATTATGATTATTATTATTATTATTATTATTAGGGATGTTACAATAACCGAAATATCGTGATATCGTATCATTAGAGTTATAATAATATCATGGATCATCACAATACATCGAATTACAAGTCTCCTTGCTTAAATTAAAAGTTATGGTGCAGCAGTAGCTAAAAAAAGACAGATGGAACTACATAGACCATGATCCTTTGCTCCATTTCAGCGCAGACTACAAGAAGAAATAACAGTTCTTCTTGTCTTGTCTTGTCAAGACATTTTAAGAGGAAAAAGTAGCATATTAACCGTTTTGTTATCCTCCAAAAATATCGCAATAACTATCATACTATGAGATATGAGATGTATATCGTGAAAATATCGTTCTGAGAGATTTGGATATTGTTACATCCCTAATCGTGAGTCTCCCTAACATATCGTGAGCTTTCCCACGATATAAGTATCATACCGTGAGGTTCATACTGTGACGATATCGTATCATTAGACTTGGATATTGTTACACCCCTATTAATTATATGAGTTCTGGTGTGCAGCCAGGGAAGTTTCAGTTAAAGGGACAGTCTGAAATTTTGGAGATAGGATGTCATTTCCTAGTGAGCCAGAGTGTTGGAGACGTGTGGAGACACTTTTTAAAATATTCCATCCAGTCCTTGTATTTGCAGAGGTTGTTGGTGCTAGACTAGTGCACGTCAATGTCCAATCCACAAAACACCCGAAGTAAATCTATTATTACACCAGGTTGTCTATGTAAATGTCTGTGTGTAGGATCGTATTTACGATAAGGCCGGTATGGTTAAACACTGATTCTCTGACAACAATTTAATTCTTTGATGATTGAGTTTTTCATTTGTGAAGTTTGTTCTTGAAAAATTCCACATTTTGCATTATTATTATATTTAATTTATATTTTTATAAAACAGTAAATTTCAATTACTCTTACTCTGTCCAACAGAAAAGCTTTGATCTGACTGTGGAAGTGAGGAGGTTTGAGTCGGCTGATCAGAGTCTGCAGGACGGGTGGAGGGGCTGGAGGAGGTCAGTGAGGTGTGGAGGGGTCTGGTTATGGAGGCCCATGATGTGCTTATGACTTGAGTCTAAACAAAACCAGTTGGGTTGACAACAGAACAGAAGAGTCTATGATGGAGTATGTGAATTTTTTTCCCAAGACTGAGATATTTTTGCTTCCTTTCTTTCTTAGAAGCTGGGGTTCATCAGACGCTTCTGCTTTCTCAGAGTCACATACTAAAACGCTGATTCTGCCAATATCACTTCACGTTGTATTTATTTTTTACCATAGCACTGTTTTCATTTCTGTGTTTTTAAAGGCCGACAATTTCACCCCAAACACTGTTCTCTGATCAGTGTAAATGTTTTTGTTTTCCAAAACCCAATAAATATGGCTTTGAAAGATAACATATTTTATGAATTTAACTTTATGAACCCGCACAACCCTTACATTCTCAAGGAAAACTGTCACGTTCCCTCCTTAATGCTTTGGAGTTTAGAAAAAAATAGTTGTTCAGCTTTACAAAATTGATAACTAATCAAATTCGATAAGAAAGGGATCATGCAGTGTTTTTATGACAGCCTCGTTTTCATGTCATCTATTTTGTGATATGAGCAGTTCTCAGCTCCAGTGTTAAATTAAACTTGGTTTCATATCCAGAAATATTAGTCCTGACAGTGTAAGTAAGTAAGTTAGTAATCTGGCAAAGTTTCATGCTTGTACCATAAAAGCAAATTATTTTGGTTATGAGCTCCACTTTGGCCTTGCCCCCGTATAAATTCAGGGTCTGACCGTTTCCTCTTCACTTTGCAAATCTCTTATTGGAAGAGGTCAGTCATCTGTTGTAATCCTGTGATTTAAGTGTCCTTTTGTTATTATTCTGCCTTTATTCACATTCTGATTACCATTGTTTAATTAATTCATATGAAGATGTCTGGTGAGATGCTGACTGTCCATTGTCTTCTCCCCTGTAGTTTGGGCTGAACCGCAGACTGGACTGAGTAGAGGCACATGTTGATTATGTTTTTCTTATATGAACCAGATTAAACAGAGAGTGCCTCCAAAAGTTCCCGCTGTGTCCTTTGGCGCCTTAACACACACCACAAGCAAAGCAAAACAATGCAGAAATCACTGGTCACACAGGTTCCTGGGTGGAGTGAATCAGTCCCTTGCACACAGTAAGGCTCCCTTGAGCCTTACTGTGTGCTGCTTTGTGCCCTAAACTGTGACAACAGCATTGCTGTGTGTCTGGCAGCTCACAAAGGTTCCATGTCCTGGTACATGGAGTTCAAGCAGGTCCCAAGTCCAAACTGTGCCAGACTCCTTTGGAAGGTTGTACCTTGAGAAGTCTGCCCTCTACCGCCCTGTACAGGAAACAAGGCTTAATTCTAATCAACAATACACAAATTTGTGCTTTAATCAGAACAATAGTGATGTAAAAATACATTCATATGTAATTATTTTATGGTCTGATTAAGTGCTGCCCGTTAAGATGCAGAAATCCACTTCTTCCACCAATCTGGAGCTTTGTAAATCTAGTAAAAGGCTCAGGCTTCCTTCTGTCTTTGATAATGTGTACATCTTGGTGCGCAACAATAATCCACAATCTCTGAAACAATACAGTTTGTTCATGGTGGCCCATGCATGGCCAACTCCGTTAGTGGGACTATAGCCGGGTGGTACAGTAGCCTAATGAAATCCTGCAGTGAATGCACTTCATTTCTTTGTACTGAAATAACCAAGAGAAACTAGCACAAAGGCTGGTGTCAGTAAACACTGATGCTTTGACAGTACCACGTAAATGTGTGTGTGTGTGTTTTGTTTTGTTTTGTTTTTCTTTCAAGTGCAAAACCCCATCATGGTCTTGTGTATTTAAGGACAGAGCAGTGGTGACCTGCAGACAGAGACCAGACTGGACCTGAGGTAACAACATCAAGTTGATTCTTATACTCAGATATGTTGTTTTACATTATTCTTTGTGCTTTAGTTCACAGACATGGAGACCACAGTGCTGGCTTTGATGCTTTGTCTGGTGATGACTTATTTTCCAACGGAAAGGGTTTTTGATTCAAGCTCTTAAGATATTTGGCTTATTTAATTTTTTTCTAATTTAGCCAATGGACAATTTAACCAAAATCCTCTGTTTTATTCTGTATTTGTATTGAAAGAAATTGTATGTTTCTGTAAGGCTTTAATCTGCAGATTGAGGACAAGTTCTCCTCATTGTCAGTATATGGACACATACACTGAGCTGCAGAGGCTGCAGTGCTGGGGTTTATGTAGTGACCGTTCAGATCAGAGAGACACATTTTAGGTTTAAAACAAACTGGATTTCAGCTTTGAAACTGGCAACACAAATCAGAGATCTTTCTGATTGTGTAATCATCTTTAGAACCAAAACATGATGTCCAATTTGGTTGTAATTAAGAATGAATCATTTCAGTTGTGCAGTAAAAGTTGTGTTTTGCTTGAACATGTCCAGTTACAGTTAGGTCATGTTTATGGAATTCAATATAAAAATTCTCAGATATCACAGTTTAAGAATTATAATTTATTTGATCTGTTTGCTCTTAAATTGTCCAGGAGTCTGACATAATTCCCGTGAATATGATGGACAAATCGGTTCACGACATGTACGACGGCTGCAGTGAGACAATGGATGAAAAGGTCAAGAATGAATCCTTCCCCAGAGAGATGAAGAATAATGAGTTATTCAAAAATATGTGGAAGAAAACAGAGTCTTGTGCAAATGACAAATAAAACAAAAGAAAGGACAAGGCCTTGACCAAAGATCAGGTCCAGGCTTTAAGCGTCTACACTGGAAATGACGTCTATGTAGAGTTTCACGCAGCTGTTCGAGTCAGTGCAGACAAATATATACCACTAATGAATTCAAATATCATGCTTTACACTACTGGCTCATTTCTGCTTTACAGACACTAAATATTAACAAAATATGTCGTATCACTTACAGGAGAACCCGAGATACATTTACAGGTCAGCTCCCATCAAAGAATATTCGTGCTTTAGTGATGAGGATGAGGTGTTAATCCAGGGATGGGCAAACTACGGCCCGGGGGCCATATGCGGCCCTTTAAACCTTTT